TTACAAACTATTTGGAGTTTTTTCGTTATAGTTTTATCAAAAAATTATTGCAATTTTAATAAAATTTTCTTACTTTTTCATTAAACAAAATTAGTAATTTTTCATTGAAATTTTATTTTATTTTTATTGAATTTTCATTAAAATGTTATTTATTTTTCGTTAAACACAGAGAATCATTTTCTCAGCAAAGTATAATTAAAATTTTGTTATATAATTATTAAAATTTTACTACCAGGGAGACATTGTGTGAATTCCTCTCGAAGGTGTTTAGACGTATTGTAAATTCAATGTTACATTATTCCAGACATGTAATCATTTATAATGTCCTATTAGGATAAGACTTTGATTCACATGACAATGCAGTAGTATGCCATTGCACATGAAGACATATTAAATGCATTCTAAAAAATAATCTTACCGATTTCTGTATGGTATCTACAAATTCCTTTTCCTCCGTATTTGGATGGTACTTCATGAAGAGGTTTTCCGTATATATTTTCTTAAAGTCAATCTCGTCGGAATTTTTCACTACGACGAATACGTAGATTGAGATTGCCACTTGTATGATCAGGATTGTCAGGAGCAAACATGCAAACTGCGCAGAAGAAACATATATCAATTGCCACAATTCTTAATCCTTTTCAGACGGACAAAACTGCCGCATCAAATAATCTTGCTATTTAACTTATTCGATCGTAATAATCGCAATCGTGCCGTTTACATGTAGGGGAAAGCATGATGCAAATAGACTTGCATATGAGGGAAAGTACAGTGGTAGAGTTCACCTGAGAAAATTTATCCACGAAAAAAACGTTATGTTGCCACAAAAATAATATTTTTCACCCCTTTTGGTTGTAGTGACTGTACTTTATATTCTTATACCAAATATTGTATTGATGGGCAAAAAATATCATTATTTTTGGTTGTAGCAACCATAGCATTTTTTTCCGCATTAATATTTTTATTTTAAATCGATTTTTTATCGAATAATATATATTTTGTAGTTATTCAAATATGCATAAAAATACATTATTTTAAATTTTATATAAAGTAAAATATTAGACAAAAAGTAATACATATTATTCTTTAGAATTCTCGTAATTAAAATAAGTTTGATCTGCTAACTAATTAAAATAAGTTTGAATGCTGTAACCCTGTTCTCCTCAAATATAATTATCTAGGAAATACTATTAATAATATCGATTCAATATGAGCTCGTGCTAATATATTACTAAAGCAATAGATAAATAAATGCGTAAATCGAATATCAGATAGAAATATATAAATGTAATAATTAAATTTAAATCTTTATCAGTCATCTTTGATTTAATAAATGCAATATTAATTTTTATTTTCAATTCTACAAACACGGATGTTTTGAAAATTGGAATAGACTTGTATTATTGTTCAGGATTTAATTTAAAATATTTAATGTAAATACAAGACCAAGAAAAGTTTCTTGTATGACAGGAGTTGTATGACAAGATAAAAATTGTTTATAAGCTTACCGTGACTACCATACAATGACTCTCGCGAATCGCACCGCAGCATCCTAAGAAAGCGATGATAAAGATAATACTGCCAATGACAATCAACGTAATTGCCGGGAGCGTAAGATTACTCGTAATATCCTCCAGATGTTCGGAATAATTTTGCTTTCCTAATTGCACTAAAACGCCGACAATCAGAATGGCCAAACCACATAGCTGCAACAAGATATTTTAAATTTGTATATATTGTATGTATATATATATATTATGTATGTATTCAAATTGTCTTTTTATTAGAAAAGAAAGTGGTATTATGACACCCTACTTATATT